TGGGCTGGGAACAGAGGCTGGGCAGGAGGAGGAGGGAAGCATCCGGAGCAAAGACCTCAGATGGCACTGGTGTTACAGGAACAGATGCTGGGCAGTGGTGACCACAGACCCGGATGCTAGCCAAAGAGATAATTAGCTTTATTTTGAAAAAGGAACGCCGCAAGCGCGGCACTTTACCCCGTGGGTAAATCTAGGGATCCTCACGCTTCCCAGGGGATTTCTCTTGGAGCAGGAGGAGCACGCTCCTGCCTTTGAGGAGAGATCCTGGGGCTCCCCTCGCCCGCTTCCACCTACTCGGTGTGGCTGGGGAAGGGGCGAGTCCTTGGCACTGGCCTGTCCTGCCCGTGTCACCCCGGTGTCGGTGGCCATGTGGCATCGCTCGCCACCCGCAGCACGGGTCTGAAGGGCTGGGGGCAGGTGTGGGGGGGGGCTTAATTTCCAGAAGAAGAAAAGGTGAAAGATTGGAAAGATAAATGTTTGCTTGTATATGGTTAAAACCCTGCTTAAAATGCCTCTGTTTTCAGCAGCTCTCATTCTAATCCCCCCGGTGCTGTTACTGCGAAGGGAGATGAATAATTCATGGGCAGAGAATGCCTCGCTGGGCCTAATCACCACTTTAATTGGAGGTTTAGATCAGAGGCTGCTAATAGCTCCTACAGCAGGACTCCGTGTCTTGTTGACAGTGAGATCGTTGAGTGCCTTATCGTTGGCCTGTTTCAATTCTCCCAGGACACCACGGCGCGTAACGGCGTCGAGGTCCCCCGATACCGAAGGACACAGACCGCAGGGCCAATTAAATTTATCTGGGAAGAGCTGACAACTTTTTTAAACAGAGGAGAACCGGTGGAAGAAGAGTGGTGTCACTCCTTCCTGCCTGCAGCCCGGCTGAGCCGCCGCCGCCGGCGTGTTGCCAGCATTTCTTAACATTCAGGAGCCTGCAAATTGGAGAGGGCTGGGAGGGAGTGAGAGGGGAAGGAGCAGGGGTTCCTCCCCAGTTTCCCCCTCGGGATTATGACTGGGGACAAAAGGAAGCAGTGCTGAGTGTCGACCCCCTTCTGATCACCCCCAGTTGGGGTCTCGGTGAAGCCAGGACCTCCAGTGCTGTGCCTTTGGGAACTGGCTCAACCTTCTGCTGACCTGTTGGAATCAGCACGGTGTGTCTCTTGACACGGTGGATGGGCCTGAGAAACTGTAGCCATTGTCTGTGCACAAATATTATTAATGCTGTTGGGTTCACGTAGCTTAATCAACGTTGTGAGCCTTTTCAGCCTTCACAGATGTTGATTTCCGAGTTTATATTTTTTCCTAAATACCAGAAAGCCTTTTCCAGGCCAAATGTAAGGAAACAGCTCTCCACAAGGGACTGATTTTACATGTGGGTTTTACTTTAGCCAAGTAGGAGATAAATGGATGGAGCCGTGTTTGTGACGGTGACCTGAAACGCTGCGTGGGAAACACGTCGCCTTCTCTGTGTCGTCGGATTTGTTTGGCAGCGGTGCTGATCTTGGTCCTTCATTCTCAAAGACTGAGACAAGAATTGGGCACTAATCATTGAGTCCTGCTGCCCCGGGATCCATCCAGTACCTTTCCACCCTGAGGTCCGTAGTTTGCAGACTACAGGAAGAAGCATTTCCCAGGAAGGTGTCTCTCTGACCTTGATTTGAAAGCTTCCAGAGATGGAAAACCTGTGAGAGCCCGTGGCAGTCCGTCGCACCGGTTGCTGCTCCCTCTGTGAGCTTTGCAGCATCCGCCCGCCGTCCCTTGCCACGTCTCGTGGGCAGGTTGGAGCCTCTTTGCACAAGGCATTTTTCACACTGGAGGAAACATTCCCGTAGAAGTCTAGAAGGTGGCTTCAGCACACTTGATGTGCAAACATTTAGCGTGTTTTCCGTGGCTCTTACGTGCTTTGAGTCCTCCTGGAGTCTACCATGGGCAGCACCAGCCTGTTTAACAGACATAAATACATCTACACAGCACCTCCGGGCACTTTTCCTGGTGACTTCTCCTGGCACGTGCTTCTCCCTCCTTACTCTGCAGCTGTCCTCTGTCCCTGACCCCAGGCAGTGTCTGGCGGTGAGATGAGAGCAGCCCAAGCCATGGTCGTGGCAGGAGAAGGACCTGGCTGCACGTTGGCTGGCCTGAATGCCGAAGGCGATTTCAAGCTGAACAGACACACATCACAGAACTGCCACGTCGCTTTCTGTTTATTTCTTGCCAGATTTGCTAATTGTTCGGGTAGTTTCACTGCAATAAAATCTCACTCCCTCATAGCCCATCTGCTCTGAGCTGATCCTGCAGGGATGCCATAAATCTGGGCTACGACGACATATCTATTTCCATGGCAACTGACCAATGTAGCAAACAAAATCATGATGTCACAGATATCATATCTCCAGGGCTTGAACAGGAGGATGAGACCAGGATAGGGAAAATGCCACTTGAACCCAAATGCCTGAAATGCAGACAACAAGGGGAAGACAGCGCTGAGCTCCAGGTCCTGCACACCCTGCTCTAGGGACTTGCCAATGTTGGGCTGATCCTACCAGAGCTAGAAAGCATCACCGGCTGGAGGCTCTCCAGGGGAAAAATTGATCATCTCTTAAAATAAAAAGTACACTTACTGATTTAAGCTCAGACCTGCCCAGTCCTCCTGAGCCACAGGTTGCTCTGTGCTGACGTCCTCCTCCCCACTGGCAGGGGTTGAAAGTCGTGGGCATCGTCTTGCAACTCTCGTGCCGTTGAGATGCAGAGCGAAACCTGCTGAGCCAGCAGATGCCCACAACTCCTGGTCACTGCTGAGGCTGGAGCCCCCCATCTGACGGGGGTCACGGGAACAAAGCTGCCCTTTCTTCTGTGCTTCGAGACGCTCAGCCGGCAGAGCGTGCGCCGAACCCGGGGTGGGAGGGCTGCGGGCTGGGGAGCTCCAGGTCACAGGACCATCCTGGAGCTTGACAGCAATAGTTTGTGACGCTGTGTCGGGTTCCCTGGCTTTGAAAATTGAAACCTGTGGAGGAACAGTGTGCTTTTGATCTCTGCTTTTCTCCAGTGATGTTTTATATACGGTGTATTGCTGGCTCATAAAACTGAGATAATCCCTTGCAATTCTCTCACTGCTAAGCCTTTGCCTTCTCTGTCAGGTCCAGGCTGGAGAGCAGCAGCGAGCCACTGCAGGGATCATTGTGCTCTTTCTTTTCACGTCTTTGTGTAGGTTTCATGGTGCTTTTTTATTTTTTTTTTTAAAAAAAAAAAGACAGCTTCATTACTGAGCTACGAAGCTGTGCTGGTGCCTTCAAAGGCTGGCCAAGAGAGACTGTTCAGTGCTGGAGATGCATTTGTTTTCCTGGGTGTTTCCAACGCTGCCTGCTCAGCGAACAACGGCGCGTCGCGCCGCGGCGACATTTGCATGCAGTCATACGATGTGATGGAAGCCTTCCTGAAGGGTGACCCCCCGCTAGGAAGTTCTTTAGTGCCAGCACAGTCTGCAGATGCCATTGATAGACGAGCAGCTGCTCTTTTGCATCCTTGATTTTGTTGCTTCTTGTTTTCCTTGGCAGGTTCTGTGGGCACCCCGCTTCCAGGGGTAGAAGTGCGCATTGCCACCGAGACCTTGAAAAACGGTGGTCGTTCCTACACCATCCATGCTCAGGGAGATGAAGACAGCACACAGGTAGTGCTCAGCCACCTTCTCTGCTGCTTCACTTTGTCCCATGAAAAGTTCTCTTCTCCCCAGCCCTATGAAGCCCCAAGGATTGAGGCTTGCACTGCTGTTATTCCCAGGAACTCAGTGATTCTATTTAGAGTTTTCTTTTTCATGTATTAATTTGTGACTTACTACAGCCATGGTGCTTTATGAACCACAGAAGTGTTGTCCTTGCCTGCAAAGAACAACATGTGAGAAAGAATGGGGGTGGGAGGAGAAGGCTGTGGTATAAGGGCTATGGTATAAAAAGATGATACTGCGTCTGCTGAGGCTGTTGATGCCCCAGAGGAAGGTGATGGGTTAAGCAGTGCCTGGCTTTTGAAAGCCAGGGCAAAACGTTGAAGTCTGCTGCAGAAGTTAAGAACAGGGCATTGACAGGAATTCAGATGTAGACCTACTCTGGTCTAAAGAGTCACTAAATAGTCTGGAGTAGAGGGTGAGTGTTGAAAAATCTGGAAATGGGGTCAGTGTTTATTTCCCTGGGTTTGATCAGGGGTTTAGCAGTGAGAATTGGAAGGACAGGACGAGGGACCTTGTGGGTTGCATTCGTTTTGAAACACCGCAGGGGGAAGCCCATCAGGTTTCCATGAAAGTCCAGCTCCATGCCCAGCTCCAACTGCCAAGTGGTGTCTGCACCAGCAGTTCTGGCATCTCAGAAGTCAGATATCCTTGATGGTGAAGTCCCCATGAACTGCCCCGTGTTGGGGGGCTGTGTGTTCCCCACTGCAGAAGCAGCCCCCAGCCCAAGGTGCTGCCTCAGCCCCTTCCTCTCCCTGCAGAAACAGCCTGCGAGGGTCTGCCTCCTTTGCACCCTCGTTGTGGGTGCAGGTCACGTCGCCTCGGGCGGATCGATAGCCAGGTGATGTACGGGCTCGGCTGAACGGCTGGATGCTGTAAGTGTGAGAGGAATTACGGCAGCAGTCGTGTGCGCCGTGTGGGTGGGAGACAGGCAGGCATGAGATCCAACCTGAAACACATCACTTCACTCGTTCCTCTGGGGAAATAGCTTCTCATCCGGCCACGTACATGCCAAGGGTCCGAAAGGAGCTTCCCAGTCTGTGGCAGGGTATGCCAGAGATGCTGCTGGTGTAAGTACTGGGGAAAAGCTCGAGAAAGACTTTTTTTTTTTCTCTACATCACCTGTGCTGGCAGCTGGAGGAGCGGGTGGGACCACGGGCAGCCCGGCGTGTGGGTTGTGGTCAGGCTGTGGCACGTCGTGTTCTGTGTTCTGGTGCCGTAACAGGGCTCTGGATCCCACCCCAGACAGGCAAAACGGGCCCGGGGAGCGCTGAGGGGCACCACCCAGGGATTGTGGCTTTTGTTAAAAATACAAAAGGTTTGCTGCTCTGTGTCACTGCCGTGGCGTGGCTGGGCAGTGGGAGAAGCAGGAGACCTGGAGCAGCCGCCCCAGCAGGAAGCCACATCCCGTTTTGTCGCTTCGCTGGATGAGCGTCATGTTTCACGGTTTTGTCGCCTGTCTTGGAGTTACATCTTGGCCTTTTTTTTCCACTTGTGTGGAACTGAGACATGAAATATAACGTATCCGTTTTAATAATGGTCCTATAATGCTTTTTGTCACCCTAAGGGATCTCTAGGTGCTTTACATATTAGATCTGAGACACAAGAATCCCCAAAGTGCAGCGACTTCCAGGATGAACCGTGGACGTTCTTCTGAGTTAGGAGAGGAAAAAATATCTAATGTGTTATTTTTAATGCTCAATTCTCTTTCCCCTTTGTTCTGATTGCATTGAGTGACTGGAGGAGAAGGGGAGCCCAGATGACCTGCGTCTGGGGCTGGAAGCCCACCACCCCTCAGGCCTTCAGAGAGCTGACACATAACACTTCTTGTGTGTCTGGCTTCAGGCTGCTCGAGTTTATATTTGGGGCAGAGGAACTGCCCCTTTATCCCAGCCATTTCCCCCATACACCCTTCAGAAGCCCCCAGCACGGGTGGCTGAGGTCCATACCAATGTCTCAGGAGCTCCCAGCAGTGCTGGCCCCGTGCCCCTTGCTGACGACTGGCTTTCCGTCAGGCTCTCCCTTGGGGATTTTTGGAATGTTCTGGTAAATTCTCAAGACATCAGCTGGGGAGCGTGTGGGGAGGTGGTAGAGTTTGCGTCTGGGTGTTGGCTGATGGGTTGGTCCCTCTCTGAAAGGCTGTTCCCATCTCGTCTACCTTGCCCCTTGTCCCAGCTTAACTGGGAGCTTCTTTAGGCTGAAGGGAGAGAAATGGTCCCATCTGCTTTGGGCCACCCTCGGAGACCGTGGCTGGCTGGATGCCTCTAGGACATCCACAGCATTTCCAGGAGCAGAGTGGAGCCGCCTGCCTCTCTGGCCCTGGGGCTGTCAGAAGGGCCGTGCTGGGCAAAACAGTCGCTGCTCTCAGTGCATCTTGGCACAGACGGACGCGTGGAGATGCCAGCAGTTTGGTTTTCGTATGGCCTGGGTATGGAGCGTGACTTTCCATCGCGTGGCCGCGCTGGCGGGCAGGTGGCAGCCGTGTTGGCACACCTCTTGTCCCAGGGATGGTGTCATTTAACTGCTTCACACCTGCGGTCACAGGCAGAAAGCCTCACCTGCTGCCTGTTCCTGCCCGGAGACGCTGCTGCTGGCACGCTGTGTGTGTCGTGCTTGGTTAATAATTTATGTCAGAAGAGAGTACGTCAGTGGAATTTATTTAAAACAAGGAGGATCTGACAGTCCGAGCGCTCATCACGCTCCACCAGTCAAAGACAGGCCTGGCTTTGTTTCCATCAGCTTCTCCATGGCAGAGGGGCTATCCTCGGGATGAGAACACCCTCCCTGCCTGTGCCACCGGGCAACTCTGCCATGGCCTTTTCCTTGCCTCTTATGAGAAGGGATAAACAAATACTTCCTCACCATCCTCGCAGGATGGTAGAGGAAGTACAGCACGTTGGTAGAGGGTTGAGGTCTGTGGTGCAGACCTGGCAAAGGCGTGGAGGGGTCCTGGTGGAAGGAGGACAGTGGCGATGGTGCCGGTGGCAGGAGGCACGCAGCCCTGCCAGCACCCTCTCTGCCTGGCTTTGATCCGTGTATCCACAGCCCCATCCCTGCTCCAGGCATTTCTCTCTGGTTTGGCACTGATACTATGAAAAATTACTAAATATCCCGTAATGGATTGCTGGAAATAAACACCTCGTGGCAGCCGGGCTGGCACGGGGAGTGAGCTGTAGGGCTTTCAGGGCAGGGAGCTCCTTCCGTACACGGAAAGCGCGGTGCCCGTCTGTGCCGTGGCACAGATCATAACGAAACTGCCAAACCGGAGCCGGTCCCGGCCGTGGCGGGGG